CTTTCTTTCTTTCTTTCTCTCTTTCTCTCTTTCTCTCTTTCTCTCTTTCTCTCTTTCTCTCTTTCTCTCTTTCTCTCTTTCTTTCTTTCTTTCTCTCTTTCTTTCTTTCTCACTTTCTTTCTTTCTTTCTTTCTCTCTTTCTTTTCTTTCTTTCTCTCTTTCTCTCTTTCTCTCTTTCTCTCTTTTTCTTTCCTACATATTTTTTAGATCTTGAGTTAAATGCCTACAGGGGATAAAATAATCTTATATTCTGGAATACTGAATTACTAAAATCTGTTATACAGCTTGGATTATGAAATCATTAATCCAAAAAAGCTCTAATAATGATGTCAAGATTCACTGGTGTACAAATCCACTCCTATAATGTTAACACATTATTAAACAGATGGGACAATGCACCTGGAGAGAGGTCTTCAGGTTGCTGCCAGTCATTTAAAAAGTAATGTGTAGACCACCTGAGTAGCTAATTTGAAAGAGTAAAATAGCAAATGGTTCCAGTGCACTGTAAATTCTGTGACAAAACAGACTGGTGCTTGCCCCATTGAGAGCTCAAATAGAAAAAGACTATTCCTTTGGTAATTCAAGTCCATTTTGTATAGTCCCTCTTTTCCTTCTGTACAATGGAATGTGATGCAATTTCTGAGACATCAGCTGCACACTCTGATCTGCTTGGAAAAAGTAAGTCTTCGTTTGGCAACCAGGAGTTCCTGAAGGCTTTGTTTCTTAATAGCTGACACCCTCCAAAAATTACTGGGTGCCTCCCATGTAATTTTCCCATATTGCTACTTCAGAGGAATCATTCAGTCAGACAAAGCTTGCCTGCTAATGAGGTACCACAAAGCTCTTTCTATTCCATTGTCTGATTGATTGGTCTGGCAGACCCATCCAAGTATCCTGGATGATTTCAAAATCTGGTCATGAGCATTGTGCTTTTGTGCGTGTTGTAATACAACACCCACTGGATTCAAGAGGCTGGATGAGAATGTCAAGTTTCAGTGGAAATTAATATTAACAAACAAATGTGTTTAAGCTCTTCTTGTTGACAAAGCTTAGATATGTGATTCTAATGCCCCCTGGCAGTCCAGTAAATGAAAAGAAACAAAAATAATTTGACATATATTTATTATTTTCTTTAGGTGTCAGGGATATTTTCTTTCTATCTATCTATCTATCTATCTATCTATCTATCTATCTATCTATCTATCTATCTATCTATTTTCAGGGTTTTGCAGCCTGACTACTGAATTCTGAATTCAGTATTGCTGCCTTTGGCAGCAATAAAAACCTCATTCTCCAGGCTCCTTGTGGAGGTTAATCCCTCTCTTCCTTTTTTTTTGCTTCCTGGAGAGTGAGATCTGGGTGCTGACTCCCTTTAAATCACAGAGGTCAGCACACTTTATTTTGCAGATATCTGAAACTCTTGTTTTCTCACTGCTTTTGGGGATGTGGAGGACATCAATGAGCACTCTGGAACATTGGGGAATTTAAGAAAAACCTGCTCCTCTTTCTGCCCTCCAACATGAAATTATTGTAGTGTTAGCTTGTATCTTCAGTCTGATACCCCACAGTGCAAACTGATTGCTAATCTTGGGGGAAAAGAGTGAAGATGAAGATCAATTTTGTCTACCTTTTTTGTTCACTACTAGTTGGGTATGAGACATAGCCCATATCATACATTCCAAAATTAAATCTCTCTTGATCTGAAAACTCAACATTTCATCCACTTTGTTTTCAGCACATGCATTGAACTGTTATCTAAAACATAAAACAAAATTTTGACTTATAATAGAAAATACAGAAAAAAGCAAAGTTTAAAACATACCACAAACAAGGCTTAAGTACTGAAGACTTATTTTATCAACACTGCCTTTAACCTTGATAACAGCAACTATTATATTATAACATTTCTTTTAAAGAAAAAGGAAGAAATATATGTTTTGGAGATAATAAAATTATTAATTCCTCTGTGTTTTAATTTTCCAGTGTAGGGCATTTACAATATTATAGATGATAACTTAAAAACATAAAATCAAAGTAAATTTCAGTTCCATTTAATTCTTCATTAAAAAGTACTGACAGGTCTCTGTAATAACTGTATGACTATATCCAATATTTTAGGAGTCTAAGAAATAGTTAAGTATGAAGTTTCTGAATAATTGGTATAATTATTTATCTATGAACTTAATTAAAAAGTTAGTAATGGAATTATAAGAAAAATGTGCTCCTCTGTAGACATAGAAAGAGACAGAACATCTCTCAATAATTGCTTTTGTAAAACAAAATTGCTCATATCAAAACGTGTTCTTTAAGAACAGTAGCAGCCTCTTAATGAATCGTCTTCAAAATAATATTTTTAAAGGGAAGGGAAGGGAAGGGAAGGGAAGGGAAGGGAAGGGAAGGGAAGGGAAGGGAAGAAAAAGAAAAGAAAAGAGAATTTGAAGTTTCTCAAATAATAAGTCTTTATGTATTGTGAGAGTCTCCTCTGACTTTGAACTTCGTCCAGCACTCATTGCTGCTGCAGATATAGCAGCATGGATACTGCAGACAATGCAGTTACAGATGAGGCTGGTACCCTGAGGATCTCACTGAGAAAATGTGCAAAATAGAGACAAATATGCATAAGCCTATTATTTTTCTGCCAGCATCCAAAAATGAAGGCTAAAGGAAGGCTGCAATTCCACAGTACTGAGGCCATCAGGCGGTAGCAACAGCTAAAAGAGAGAAGGTATTTCAAGCAAGGAAGTCTCCCCGACTTAAAAATTTCCTTTAACAGCTCTGAACGCTTGGCTTAATGCTATAGTTTGTGTTTTTTAGTATTTTCATACTGCTATGCTTCTCATGTATGTCCAATAAACTGAAAAACCAGCAGTGGCTTTTTTAGTTTAGCTGACTATATTTCAGTTACAGTTTTTGTTTCCTCGTCTAGTTCCGGCTATCACACTGAATGGCATTCCTCTGAGAATGACACCTCCATCAGAGACTAAGGACAGCTGACAAGCTGTACTTTCCTGCCATACCTTAACTGTGTCTCCACCAGTGACACACGGTAGCTAGCTGTGTGAGGATTCACAGTCTGCTGAAAGGAAATGGGTTATTTAATGCCATTTCCAGCCAGTCTGACTAATCTGGTAGCTCTGCACTGCAGAGAACAAGTAGATGGTCACAAGGTAGTGTGGAACACCAGATGAGGATGGAACAGTTAGTATCATCCTTTGAGGTCATATGCCATTACCGTGACTGTCTAAATTACCTCCAAAATGAGACATGAAATGGTGTTTGTTTCTGAAAAATGTATGTTCTCTATCAGATGACAACCACATTACCTTACCCTACTTTTTTTTTTTTTTTTCTTTTATGCTCTTACACTTAACACGAGAGAAAATGTAATGACAACTTACTTCTTTTTCTCTTATTCTTCTCTTTTTCCCATGAAAAAGTGAAGTTTCTTTTTAGTTTTTCCTCAGGAACTACAAGCAGGGAATTTTTGAACAAACCATTCTGCTTTGTTATTTCAGAGCAAAAGATACTTTAGAATGCAAAAATGCATAGTAAGACCAGGGATCTTACAGGTTTGTTGGAAAGAAGGTGTTTATTAACCACTTGAGAGCATGCTGGATGTGCAGTCTAATTCAATGTGTTTTGTAAAAAAAGTAAGGTGTATGAGTTTACTTATTTAAGCAAAGCCCTCAAGCACATTAAGCATTTCAAATATTGAGACTGAACATACTTAATTGCTTTGCAGTATTTGAGTCATAATGATTATTGCAATAATTAGTGTATGCTCAGTTATTTCTTGTCAGTGCATGCATTTAAGGGTTACTGAATGAATAAACTGATTAATAATATTTGCAGTGAGAAAAGGAAATATAATTAGCTTTGATATAGTGAAAATACATTTTAATTTAAAAACTCCATCTATTTCCGTCCAACAAATTGTAACAAACTTGTGAGAAGATTGGAAAAATCTCCAAGTATTTGGGTTTTCTGTTGGGTTCTTGGTTGTTTGGGGGCATTTGTGTGTGTGGAAGGTGGGGGAGAGGGTTTTCTTTGTTTTGTTTGGATTTTTGTTTGTTGGGGGGTAGGGATGGTGTGGCTATTTGTTAGAGGAAAATTGCTTTGAAAAAATACCTCAAACAGGATACAGGCAAGTTTTCCAAAACAACATCTTTCCCATTTTTGCCTTCTGGTCTGAGCATCCAGGCTTCACTGGTCTTGTACTACCCCTCAGTTTTGATTGTTGTTGTGACCCCAGTCCCTTCAGACTGTTTTCCTCCTAACTGGAACCCAGAATCACTGAGATCCCAAATCTCATGCACGTATCACAAACATAGGACTGGAAAATGTGTAACTTTCAGGCAGCAGTTGATTCCTCATGGCTTGAAAACAATTTTTCTCATGCTGTGACCCTCCCTCTCTGTTAGCTTCCAAGACTGTTTTCAACTTTAAAACTTCCTGCTCTCTATAAATTTGGGAAGGAGGGAAAGGAAAGGCCTTTTAACTGGAATTTTAAGATGTTCTAATTTCACTTAATTTTTCAAACACCAAGTTTCTCATGTAACCAGATTACTATTTTGACTATTAACAGAGAGAGCACAGGGATATGTATCAGCTTTTTGTTGTTCGGGGGTTTTTTCCTGATCATTTATAGATTAGGAGTCAAAAATTCAAAATGCACTTACAAGCAAGCTATTTTAAATATTCATTTTGAAATTTCCACTTAGCAGTAAATTGATAGAATTCCTTTTCTTCCTTAGACCTATTTCCTAATGAATCAAACTGGTCAAAATATAAAATACTGTGGCAGTTCTTACTACTATATTACTCAAAAAATTTAGAAGCATTTACATGTTTGAGGTGTTGCATCAAGAAATTGTAATATTCTCAGTAAGATTTACAGATAATATCAATTTACGTGGTGTTATGTTGGTGTGTTTTATAAAATTGGGAAAGACTAAAAGATTGTTTGAAATCATGTTGAAATCTCAGTTTTGTACAATACATCATGCTTAAAAACTAGTTTTATTCGCAAATGTATTAGTCCAATTAGTCTCAAGTAGGAAAAATTCACAATCAAGAAACAGCAATTGCAAAAAAGACACAGCTATGTTATCATCTTGATCTTCCAGAGTATATTTTCACACAAGTATGATTTTAGATTTAGATAAGATAACCATAACGCACAGTTACCTATAAACTAAATATACATTGTTTTCTTCTGCTGCATCAGTAATATGAACTTCTCTTGAGTATGTATGGTCTTCTAGCTTTGTTCACATGTAGCTGCCGTTTCAGAATATAGGGATTTTTTCTCTTCATGATTTCCTTTTCTTGGCTTGAGTTCTCTAGATCAAAAGTATCTTGCTGAAGTAACTGTAGGATGCAAGAAGAGACACACTCCTCAAAATTTTAAAAAAACGCTATTTTAAAATTTGTCACCAAGAAAAATATTTACTATATTAGATGCAGCATTAAAAAAAAAAAAAAAAAGACAAAACTCAAGGCACAAAACTATAAAGGTCAGCTGAGCCATACAGAGTGATATTCCACTTCAACAAATTAGATAATCAGTTTTGACTAGAGAGGAAAGCTGGTGTTTCCTCCTTAGACTAAAACTCAAATTGACTGGGAGTTTTCTAATGACTATCACTCTGTTATCACACATTTAGGTTAAACACCTACATGCACTGACCACTGGTTTCATCTTTTGAGAAATATTTTAATCTACAATTTCCTGCAAAGCAGGGAACTGTGCTAAGATATATGGGTTATTGCATATTTGGTTCTAGGGCAGGTCCTTTCCAGCAATAAATGCACTGATGAAGAGAGTCTTCAGAAAACTCTGGTTCTCAAAGAGGTTGCAGTCCTTTGCATGGACCCCTCCCCAACTAATCTAAGGATTTGGATTATATATAGAATTGTGACTCAAAACCCAAACAAACAAACAGACAAACAAGCTCTATTCAGCTAGACTGTACATGAACCTGAGATAGATGAAGAAATTTGCTTTACTGGAAAGTGGATAGTGAGACTGAGTTATCTTCTTTCACTACACAAAGCAGCTTTTAGTGTAAAATCTAACAATGCAAGTGGACTGCGCCTAGTGTGCTTCTGTGTAATCACTGCAATCACTGTACTAAAATAAATTCCACAAATGGACTACGAACAATAAGAGCAGCAATCTTCATATAATCACAATGTCAATTTCCAGGGACCTCTTTAGGTGTAGGGAAACAAAAAGCAGGAGTTCCCTTGCTGCCAGTTTCCTAGCAATGGTAAGAAAACCAGAGTACCTAGTAACATGGTGTGTACACACGGGCATGTATCCCTGCTTTTTGAATACCATTTGCCTTAGGGTCTTAAAAGAGAAACACTGGCTACATTTATTTTTGCTTCAATTGATCTATATTAACTTCATGTCTGTTAAGCAGGTATTAATTATGTTTTCTGGTAGGATGACTTCCATGTGTTTGTTTGGTTACCTGGAATGGCTACAAAGAGTGGAGAACATATGTAGTTAAGGCAAGTTCTCATTTATCCACGGGTCTTTGTAAGAAACATACACTCTTGTCATCAGAAACTGCACTAATTCACTACTCTTACTGAAAGAGGCTTATTAGAGGTACTAGAGAATATAAAAAAGAGAAGGAAAGCTTAGACAATGTGATGGAGGTCACTTGGATATGGATTTTTAGATCACTACAACATGCATTTGCGACCATTTGTGTTACCTCCCAATGCTGAAAGGCTCTGCTGTGGCAAACTTTTTGGAGTTGATATACTGTCAGCATTGCTTCCAAGCTGAAGCCATCCAGAGCAGCAGGGAACTGTCTTCCTGGAACCAGCTCCTCCTCATCTACCTCTACTGTTTCCCCCATTTGGTTGTTTATCTTGTTGACAAGATTGCAGACATTTAGCAGGGTCATTTTCCAGTAAGGAAGTTTTGCTCTGTTAATCTGAAAATAAAAACACCCATGATTTAATGTATTTTGGGTTTTTTGTAATCATGTGAGACATTCAACAAATGTTTTGTTAGAAACAAGTTTATGTTTCTGAAGCGCTTTTCATCTGGTCACTTTTTAGACAATAATTAGAGTGCTGAACTTAGGACAACTCATTTATTACACACGCCAAGTCTGCTTCCTTGCAGCATTTCCCCCCAGGTAGATATAAATGATGAAAAAACTGAACTGCTACCAAACCAGAATGGCAGCATTTCATAGTCATTCTGCACAGGTGCAAACAAAAACACAGATGGAAATTAATATAATATAAACTCACAGGTGTAAATAAGGATAATGAATCAAACCTACTGGATAAATTCCCAGCTCAGGAATCCAAGCTGGATGCCTGTGGTTAACTAGACACTCCTCCCTAGTTCAGAACAAACACCAGTCATCTCAAAATTCCCTGAGAAAAGGAATGGAGTCCCTCCTTCAGGACAAGCTGTCTGATGAGTCTGGGCCTGAAGTTACAGAATCTGTAAGCCCCAGGAGTTTTGGATGCTGGAAAGTCAAGAGCCTGGAAGATGTTAATTGAAGATCTGTGGTCTTAGGAAGATGGAGCAAAGACAAAACATAGCTGTGAAAAAAAAAGTATTCCTGATTTGGCAACTGGACTGGAAAACTGAGACCAAATGTATGCAGGTGGCCAATAATGAACTGGTCCAGATATGTTACAGAAAGACAGAAAAAAGGAAATTTCAGCATGCTGAAATTTCACCAAATTTTGCCTGTTCCAGTATCTTGCATTGTGCATGAACTTTTAAACCATTTTAAAGAAATGGTGATTAGTGTGCTTTTTACTTTTCTACTGGTATTGTTTTTTCCAAGCAGTTGTAAGCAGAATAGTCTTCTTCCATTTTGATTATCAATAGGAAAAAAAAGTAAGTTTAGAACTTAGTTCCTATCTCATTTACTACTTTTCACAATTTTGCCATTTTCTTCATTCTCCCACTATTAATTATTTCTTCTGCACTGTGTTCCTTTTAGTAATGAGTATAGAATTTAGTTTCCTTAAACTAGAACTGGTGACATAACAATCTCCTATCAAAAGCCAAATAGCAAATTTGGTATTTATTCCTGGCAGGATTTCCTTGCTATGCATATTAGGATTAGACCTTACCTGTGATCTGAAATGTAGTTCCTTCTTTTCCTGTATGCACAAAGTTTAATATAAGTATGACACTGACTCAGAGATTGCATTTCACACATATTTGACAGCACTAATTGGGAGTGTGGATGCAGTGCTTACTTGGCTGAACATCAGGTAATCACATAACCTGTCTCTTTAGAGCACCTTCCCAACAAAGGGGCCTCGCTTGCAAGATTTATGTATATTCATCACACTTGACTGTTTTTTGAGGGAAAAGAAAGAAAATTCAGAGAAATGAGGAAGAAACAAGAAAAACTGGCATCACTCTTAACATTAGTTACAAAAAGTTTTCTTTTGGCCATAATCATTACTCCAACATACATCTGATACATGAGTGCCCTTCAAAATGAGAATGATTTAGCCTTTTATTAAAACTGCCATGCATTCTCAGATTTCTGGAGACATTCAAAAAAAACCAAGATTATTTTGTTTTGAGGCTAAGAAAACAAATCTGAAATCTTATTTGGAAACTTGTAATTGGTTCTGTGCTCTTTACTTTGAGCTCATCTATTGTCTCACTGAAGTACTCCAGCTAGTCTATCAAATTATTTTAAAAGACAGTTTCAAAATTAATTTAATCTCTTTGCAGAATATTCAATTCTATTAACAGAAGTTAAAGCAGGAAAAAGACCAAATGTCCAATGCAATTTCAAAATGTTCTTTTGTCTGTTTTAATATGTTTCTGAAATATAAAAATAGGGAGCTTTCCATGACAAATGAGGAGGCTTCTCCAGTTTGCTTTTCTCTCCTGTGTATACAAAAGAAATGTGGGCTGGCACAGCAACAGCCAAATTGCAATGGAGCATAGAATCTAGAGGTAGTGCTACATGAGCAAGATTTCTGAGTTAAGTAAGAACCAAAAATATTCCAGTGGATGGAAACAGAAGAGTAAAGGATAGGGTAATCTCTCGTGCCTTCTCGCAATATTTATAGAATCTTTTTGATCTGAAGTTACTGCTCTATGTCAGTCTGATGTACATCTATACATAAAGGAACTTTCCTCTCTCTATTAGAAAAATACTTCAATAGCAGATTTCCTTAGGTGAAAATTGTCTTAGCTCCTACTTATGAGGTTAGGAGAAAACAAATTTGCAGTGCTATCTGCTAGCTTCTAACTAATATTTCATTTGTTAAGGGAGTCTCATTCCTATTAATGCCATGCATATAACACTACAAAGTATTTTTTCTTGGGTACACCTGCTTCTGACTTACTTCTACCATTAACAACTCAGTCAGACTGAATTTGGGTTACTTGAACTGAACATGGAGTTTGCCAAGCCATGTCCAGTCACTGAAAAGAGCAGACATGCTGTTAAAATCAGACTGCTTTGCATTTTGGGTTATGGAAAATATCTGAGCCATTTATCCTAAAGGTATCAGTTTAAGATTATGATAATCCAAATGCTCAGGTCAATTTACAGTATGTGATATATTCTATATATAACATATTTCATATTTTGTACATTTATATATTTTCCACACAGATGTCAGCAATATCAACTACAGTAGCTCAAAATATGTTGTGGAAAACACCTACACAATAAAACAAGAAACCCTTATTGGCAAGATAGAACGAATTTTTTTTAAGAGTAATTTGAAAAATACCTGGGAATGACCTGAAGAATCAAAGGAGACTGAAGGATGAACTAGAATTTAAAAGGTATATGAATACTGAAGTGAATATGATGTAGGTATTTCCACTGTTGAACATGTTTGTAAAATAAGAATCAGATATAAAATTTCTCACAATTCATGGATCTTGAAAGAGAATTTAAGATCATCTAAGAAACTGAATTAAGCTTGTTTCCTGCTTTGACAACCAGCTTGTCCTGTGCAAGACAAAAGAGATATTTTATTTCCATTTCTGGTTGAATGATACCCCTGATAGTTTGCTTAAGATACTTCTTTTGTTACAATCCACTCATACATCCAAAATGCTAGTTCTCATTAGGAAAAATGATATGTGCTTTTTCATTCTTGTCTTTATCTAGTAAAAGCAGATAAAAAGCAAAGTCATAATGAAGTAAAAATCCCAAGCAAGTGTAGGATCTCTATGATTCCTTTCCATAATAATAGTTCAATTTTCTTCAGATTGTAACCATAGAAATAATATCTTTAATCAGATAAAGCATTAAGTTCTGTTAAAGACAAAGTTCCTCTGTGGTGTATGTTAATGCCTGTAAAGCTAACTAATTTTTATGTGATGACTGGATCAGGAAGTCAGTAGCTCCTAGGTAACTGTAGGTGCCTCCTAATTCTAGGCAGCTCCTCAGACAAGAAGGCTAAACTCTCTGGGCAAATATAGTCATAAACAGGCATCCTACAACAATGAAAACTCAGTGGGTCCGTGGCTTCAGAAAATTAATGTTGGGTGGGATCCCAAAGGTGGAGTATATTCTAGGGATGATATATTCCCCAAGGAAGACTTTTTACTTTTTTTTTCCCTCTAAATAACATAGTCTCAATCTTTTTTGAGCTCAAAACATTATTCATACAACTAATGATTTCAGGCAAGCACTTAGGAAATTGGAAATAGAATTACTTCTTTGATATGAATAGAGTTTTCCATTCAAAACAAAAGAGGGACAGGAGATAACTCTCCACGTATTTTTGACAAGTTGGGTTTTGTTGTTTTAGCAGATCTTCCAAATGGTTTTTTGGATTTTATCTTAGATTAAAAGACAGGTAGAGCATTTTAATGGCATGTTTGATCGTTGTATCTTGGTTCAGATGTAACAGCAAGGAAGGGTGATGAACTGTATTGAGTGTTAAAGACAGTTGTAATAAGCATACTTTAAGGATGGAGAGTGATTCAACATACAGGTGACTTTAAAGAGCAGCTTGAGAAGGGGCACTGGAAAGCAGTCTGTGAAGTTAAAGGCATAAGGCAATTCTTCCCATAATATTGTACAGACTAGTGAATATTGCAAAAAGTGTGCTTAAGCCCTGACTGCAGTCTTGATACTATAGTCCACAAGTGCCTACTTAGGCAGATTTTTGTTCTATCAAGTACTAAACCCAAAAGTGATAATCCACTTTGCTGCACTTTTAGATCTCAGACAAACAGTACTTTCTCTCCCCATTTTAATGCTATTTAAATTGTTAGGATTTCCTCTGGTGATTACCAAGTCAGTATCAAATACAGTTAGAGCAATTTACCAGTGATTGCCCTCAAATGGAACCAGATCTCAGGGACAACACAAGACAGGTATTACACACACTGCTTTCAAATTTCTCTATCACACCAGGGCCATAATTTATTGTAATGAGGGTTAAAATCTAGCAGAGGACAACAGAAAAAAATAATTTCAGTAATCAATGGGATAGTGACATTACTCTTGTAGAAGACTTGATACACAGTTTTTAGTGTTTCCACCGTGTTTTCCTTTGATGTCAAGAGACAAGGTGTATTCAGCTAGGGAACTTTGGATGGTGATTTAAGGCAGTATAATGCAGAACTACAGCAATGTCTCCAACATGAATCTACTGCTTCTGTCAGCTTCACGTGCCAGTTGACTGTGGTAAATACCCTAAGGAAGCTGAATATCAAGCCACATGACATCAAAAAACATAAGAGTATTATGGCAAACATCATGACATTATCACTGGTGCAAGGTATTTGTTCATTTGGAGTTACCTGAGCTTGTGTTCTGTGGTGGGAGGGAGGAGAAGATGGAAATTATGTTCACAGGTCCACTAAAGTCAGTAGCAGAAACACCAATTGCTGCAGGGTTTTATTCCAGAGCATGCTATGCTTTGCCACACAGAAAAAAAACCCTGTTTTTGTCAGCCTCCTACATTTAAATATGTCTCAGAAAAGAAGTAGTCATTAAGTCTTTCTGTACCTTAGAAGGGTGAATAGCCAACAGGTTAATTTGTAATCTAAGGTTAAATATCATGCCAGTAAAGAACATTGAGATCAAAGAACTGACAGACCAGATAAAGAAAATACATTTTCTGGCCTCATACTTCTTCTAGTCTATACAATAATCCTGTGGAAAAGGTCACATATACTTAAATACAATTTGTGCAGATGTCTTCCTTACAGGTTTTGTCTTTAAACTAGTAATTTTGTCTTCAACTATGAAAATGAAAAATTCTTATGAATGAAAAAGGCTTATGAAAATTTCATTTTTGGAGGGAGAAATTTTTCATTTCTCATTTTATTTTCCATTATATTTAAGTGCCACTTAAACTTTATTGGAATAATGAACTAAAATATTCACCCTTATACCCATAGCACTTGCTTCAGTTCTTTATGTCACTGAAGATATATGACATATATATTTTTTAGACCATTTATGGAAGATAATTGTGTTGAGAGTCTATCAGCCTATCCAATGCAACACTTTCTGCTTCACCTTGTCAATATGAGTTTTTCAGTGAATTTTTATATATTCATATTAAATAACATAAACATTATTCACAGTCTGGAAACCTGTCAAGGAAATGCCATTTACAAAGTTAGTATTTTCACAGTCATGTCCCCATGTTCCTGTACTGGCACAACGATTAAAATCCTTCACCAAAATTGGCCTGTGTATTAACTATTTTTGCTTTATGATTGTCTTAATTTTATATGCATATAGGAAGAGTTCTGCATAAAAATAGCATTTAGAGATTTGACTCAAGGTTAATTTAGCTTTCATCGAGCATAATCTTGTTGGAAACACATTTCCTCACATAAATTTACATCTCTGTACATAGCACAGTTTAGACAGTTTAATGAAAGTACCAGTGTTACAACTGAAGAACATGTTTAGTGTGTCACATCAACACCTTTAAATTTCCTTTGAACTGGAGAAAATCTTGCACCAAAGTAAAACCTAACACTGAACTTTTCTGTCTAGACCATAGGTTATTACTCTGTGCAAAGACTTTTGGGTTTGTAATGAGAATTCATTTGCTCCCTCCCTGTCAGGTAAAGGAAGAAAAATAATTACCTTTGATGTGTACATATTGGTCAATAAATCTGCTTCTAATGCTTTCATTTCCTCTTCTGAATCTGGGTTTAAAGCAGAAACATATGTTTATTATTTGATCATAAATCATGGACATTTCAATTCAGTATACAGAACTTAGATATTTAAATGATTTTTAAAAAATAAACAACAAACACCAGTGACCTAGAGGGACTGTCAAGAGTCTTCAGTTAACAGCAATATTATTTAAATAATCAATACATTTTTAAAGAATGATCAAGCTTATTGAACTGAATGGAACTGTTAATTTATCTCAGTTTCATAGCAGAAAGGCTCACTAAACTGCAATTCCTTCAGTACAAAAAAACTTGCTGAAATATTCTTTATTATTTTCATAGTAAATATTTGTCACCTTTGCTTACTTTGGAAGAAAAAATTGAATATTTATTTTCAAATAATATTTATTTAAGTAGTAATTATTTAGATAAATGGCAGTTATGATTACTTGATTAATAATCAATATTCTCGATTATCTTTAATTAAATTAAGGGTATTTTTACTGATATGAGGGAACTGAGCATGACCAGTTTATGATACAAGCTCTTGACAATGTATATACAAAAAGAAATTATTCTGACTGGAAGTGTAGAGATTTTTTTTTACTGATTTTATCAACCTTTGATAGCTCAGTAGACTTTCAAGACCCATGATTTGGTAAATAGAGTAAAAATTGCTGTGGAAAGAGAAAACACACAGATACATTTCTACACACAGCATCACAAGATGAAGACGAGAATCACAATGAAGATTTGGTTCCTTGGTAGCAGCAATCACAGCTCGAAGAGAAAAAATGTAAGGAATTAGTTAAGACTTTAGGTGAAATTGAGTTCCACATAGCTTTTACCTTTCCTGGAATACCAACAGTCCAAACCCAAATGATTCACTAATATTTCAAACCATACTAAACCAAAATATATTCCACATTCATAGTGGTTATATCTCACTTTCTTTAAAATAGTCAGTGCTGTTGGCATTCAGGACTCTACCACTGAACCTGTGCATAGATTCTGCTGATGCCCTCATTTCAGGGGTTGTCACCATGTCATGTCACTACTTTTCATGCAACATGAGACTGTAAGGGACCACAAGCATGTGCTAATGTGTCACAGGTTTCTGTCAGCCAAAAGCCACCCATTACAAAGCTCTTAAAAATCAGTCATGTTCAGTCTTAATAAATTTCACCACTACTATCACTTTGTTTCATCTTTTGGAAATTCTTCTAAATATCAATGCTAACTCACTTGCTTCTGATTTCAAGTCTAATTTATTTCTAATTACAAATGTATCCATTGTTTGCAAATAAATTCCTACACTATAAATGATACCTTTCCATTTGAAATATTTATCCATCATGTATTTATTGAGAGGAATTTCATTTCTCTCCCTAGCTCAGTGTTTTTGTATGTCCTCACAAGATTAGCAAACAAGTGCAAGGTCACTGTGTCTTTCTGGTCAAAAACCACTGCCCTGGAAATTCTATTAATGTTTCATTGAAAGGCTATGCCCAGATTTATTGGGCTCTCACCTACTTTCCTTTGTTGCAAAAGCCTTGTATTCCCCAACTCATCAAAGCAGCCCTCTTCTGTCCCTGATGTGTTCTCAAGAGAGAGCAGTTTGTTTCAGAAGCCTCAGTACTTGACCACCTTAGTGCTTACCATTAGCTACAGAGGGCAGCTGTCTTACATATCTTTTGGTTTTGTTTGTCTTTTGTGGCTGAAAACCCCCCAAAAACAGGTCAGATAACAAGATAATGCCTTTTATTCCTCAGATTTCCAACAGTTGAGCTTTGGTTAAAAAGGAGCTTTTAACTGTAATTTCTATTATTTCCTAAGCCACTGCATTTTGTGTTGTTGCACTGCTTCTTATTCCTATTATTTAGGTCATCAAAAACTTCTGTGTGTCATGCATATTCCCTTCCTCTGTAGAGAAGGATTCTCCTGTTCACCTTTGCATTACCAACACAATAGATTCATTCTTTATTTTTAGCATCAAAGCTTTTGCATTTAAGTGACTTTCTGTAATGCTGATCTACAACCAGTATTATTTAATATTTAACTTTTTCATATTAAATAGGACTAGTTATAGAAGAGTCAGCAAGTCATTGGCAACTGGTCTCAAACCTAATGCCTTTCAGCCCTTTCAGCTGGAATGGCATTAGGTTTTATCAGCTTTACCATTAGCCAAAGTTCTGCTGGCAGCACAAGATCACCTCAGCCGAATTTCTATCAATGATAGCATCTCCTGTGAGCAGGGGATGACACACAACGACAGCATCATGATTTGTGATGTCCTGGATCACACCAGCTGGGAACAATAAAAGGACTTGTGCCTGGTTAGCACCTGGATTTTGTTTCTATAAAGGATGGAAGATAGCTTCCATAAGTCAAGGCTGGAAGATTGCTGCAGGCATGAAAGATGGGAAGAAAGGTATTAAGAAACATTTGAACTGTAAAAAAGAAATCCAGAGGGCATTATTTAGGAGTCAAGTTTCTTGAGTGAGGAATAAAGCAAGGCTTGGAGAGAGAAAAGAAAGCATGTTCAGGTAAATCAGGAATGAAAATAGATGGATGAGGAGCAAAAGCATAGAAAGAACACTCTCAGAGAGCAATGTATAAAAAGCCTGGTTACACATTATTGTTAAAATCAGAGAGAAATTTGCACAATTTGATGTATTCGTGAATCTAATGACAAGAAAAATAGTTTCTGCTCATATATTCACATTTTACAGGAACAATTACATTCTACAGGTACATACTTTTGCCTGAAGACAAGTATTTCCAAAAGAAAATTTAACAATCATTTTCTTTCTCATTTGCAAATAGTTTTAAATTTTCAAGCAAATAAACCATTGTGTTAATTTCCCAGAGAATATGGCTTTGGGGGGGCATGCTATGAGTCTATTTTAATTCCCACTTATTTTTTTTTTACTTTAGTGGTCTTTCATTCAGGCTCTATAAGGAGTTGAATCTGAAACTGCTCCAATAAAAATACTAGTGAGGAATTTGTTTAAAAACCTTAGAAATACATGGAGAGAAAAAAAAATGTTAAGCTTTGTCAGTAAGATCATACATTCTCTATAATAAACAGAACAATTATACTTAAATAAAATAAATAAATATTTTATAAATTAAATATATTATGTGGCTTACATTTTTGTTCTGCAAGGGAATACAGACTTCCATCTAAAGTGAGAATTAGTAATTCTGAGTCCCTCCGAACACTAAAGTTGAAAAATGAAGTTGCTTGTACATTTACCTGGTAATTTAGTGGAGTTAAAATTAATTTCCAAGTCAGTTAAGAATGGATTTTGCAGGTTATTCTGCTTCATATATGTGTTTAACATAATGGCAGATGCTTAAGATGTGTCATTTTTCAAAGAAGCAGGAAATGCATTTTAATATATTGTCCTCCTTTTGAGCTTTCTACAGCAGCTGCTCTTGGAGAAATGCATTTACTTCAACCTTCTTACTGCGTGATCTGCCTGTGCTTCAGCGGTTTTGGGTTTTTTTGGTTGTAATTTCAAATTGGTTGTTAGCAACTTTTTCTCCAGATAATAAAATTGTATTTATCTCTCTAAAAAGTGACTGAAGGGCATACATATTCATGTTGATTTGGATTACAGCAGCTATTCACGTGAGTTGCAGAAATTACAATTTGTATCTTAATTTGGAAATACATGGTATTCAATGAAGCGCAGCGCACCCAAGCAGATGGTCTGCACTGATTTGGATTTCCAATGGCTAGTCTACACTAGCTGCCGTGGTATGGATGCTGTGAGGAGGAACGGCTTGTGCGAAGGGAGAAAGTTAGAGGAGTGATATAAAAAAAAAAAAGGTGCTGGCCAGAGCCCGTTATCAGAGCCGGCTGCCGGGTGCCTGATGGGGACAGCCGGCGGAGCCAAAGCGACTTCAGTGCCCTCCTTTAGGTGCCTGTTCGGGCTCCGGGAGGGAGCCGGTGCCCAGCGGGCTGAGGGGCCGGGCGGTGCGGGGCGCGCCCGGCGGAGCGGCGGCGGG